CGGGGAGCGCCGCGGGGACCCCGGCCTCCGCCGGCCCAGGCGCCCTGCCCGCGGGGCCTGCCCACCATGCTCCTGCTGTCGCCGCGCTGCGCGCTTCTCTCCGTCTATTGCCCGCAGATCTTTCTCCTCCTGTCCAGCGGCAGCTACCTGTGAGTGCCGCGGGCGGCGCGGGGGTGGCCGGGTGGGTCCCCTGGCCTCCAGCGCCGGAGCCGGGCGGGCAGAGAACGCGGCAGCGAGGCCCCTGGGCCAGGCTGTGGATGCCCGGCCCGTGCGGGAGCCCCGGGGACTCTGGGTCGCTTCGCCAGCTTCAGCTGCCGAGGTGCAGTACCTGGGGGGAGTTGTGGCAGTATGAAGTCCCGGCTTTGGGATCAGAGAGGATGGCCCAAGAGCGGCCCGACTGCCCGAGTGGGGCAGGCTGCGCGCGCTGAGCGCAGGGCCAGAGGGCACGCGGGTGGCGTGGAGATGCCCTGCGCGTCCCAGCCAGGTCCTGGACCAGCGGGGATCCCCTCCTTCTATTAATCCACGCGGCGCGCAAGGCCATGCCACACTTGGGAGGGCCGCTCGCACACACCCGCTCCCTCGCGCGAACACTGGTCCACGTGCACGCTGCGCTCCGCCAAACAGCGCCCGGGCTGTGCCCCGAAGTCTCTGCGGCTCCTCGCGCCTTCCTGTGGCGCTGGGCGGCCCGATCCCCGCCGGGACCGACTCCTCACCTGGGGACGCAAAGGGCGCGTATTGCGCGCGGGCGGCCGCGGTGCGCCCAGGTGTCCCGGCCAAGGGAGCGCGCCGAGCGTGGGCGCGCGAGCGCGTCAGGCCGGGCAAAGCCCCCTAGGCTCGGAGAAGCTCCGAGCAGGGCCCAGTCGGGCCCAGCGAGCGGAGGGGGCGCGTCCGCGCAGCGGTGGCTTCGCCCGATTTCTAATGGGACGCATATGCTCTGGCCTCCGATTTAAAAAGAAGTTTGATTTATGGAACCGCCGTTTGGGGGGAATTTAAGCTGGATGCTACTGATTAAACCTCAGAGCCAGCGCTCCCTCTCCTTCGCCTCCCCTCCCCCTCCCTCTCCTTTACACGCGGGCCACGTCCGGGGTCGCCTAAAGCGGCCAGAGGAGGCAGCCGCCGCCTTCCCGCTCCTTGCGCCGCCCCCTCCTCCCGTGCGGTCGCAGTCCTAATAAATCGCCGCGTCCCCACCCCCGTTTAATAAAGACGCAGCCAATTTCTCCTCCAGCTCCTAGGAAATTACTATCCTACCAGTTTTCCTGCTATAAATAGTCGCGCATCTTGAAACAAAAGTTCGCAACCGCAGCCAGATGCTGCGAGGCCCGCGGTTTCCCGGGCTGTGGGACATAATTACAAGGTCCGGGCGCAGAGAGCGCTCCAGGCCCGGCGGGCAGCCCCGGCTGCGGAGGCATCGCCTGGGGTTGGGGGGGGGAGGCGTGCAGGGCGCATGCGGGTGAGGACCCGGGCTAAGAAAGTGCCGGCCGGAGGGTCCTGCTTCTGGTGTCCTGCCCAGGAACTGGATCAACCCCGGGGGCCTTGGAATCCCAGCCTCTGGTTCTTGTAGGTGGGAAAGCCTCCCCTTCCCAGAATTCGGACCGTAAACCTTGCTAGAGAATCGGCAGCTACTCTGCTTGAGAAATCATTTTTGGAGCCGGTTGGCTGAGGTTTGGTGTTGGTGGAGAAGTGTCCAGGGGTGGGAATCCGGGAGTCCTCCAGGGGGGTTGGGGGCAAGAGTCTAGGAGGAGGAGGCAGGCAAAAGGGGCCATGCCATGCTGAGGCAGCAGCTGAGGGGCCTGGGGTCAGGTGGTGGCCCAGTATACCTCTGAGACTCTGATTTCCCTTGGGGCTGGCCACCACATCTGGCCTGCAGTGACTGTCATCTTTACCCATCAGGCTTGCTCCCTGAGTGTACACCGCCAGCTGTGTTGGCAGAAATTCTCCTAGGGAAGCAACTTTTCCAAACATTCCTGGGCCAGCACTGGGGTCCCGCGTGGATCGTGGGGGATAGGAAGGCTGACTATATCCCTGCCTTGCCCCAGGGGAAGAAAATGCTGATGCCAGCCTTTCTCGAGCAGAGACTAACTCAGATGTATTCCCAAGGGGGAGAAAGGAGGCCTTGGAGGCCTCGAGTTCCCCCTGCCCCATTTGGGTGGGCGCAGGGCTGGTTGTAGGTGGGAGCAGGGCCTGCAATTTGAATGAAATCACAAAGAGTGAGAAGAAGCTGGTTTGAGCGCCTGTGACCTGGCAGCTAGACTTAGGTGAGACAGCCAGTGCACAAGTGCTTGGAGAACTGGGAGTGGGGAGAGCAGGGAGCCAGGGGCCAGCCCACCCTCAGTACTGCAGCATGCTGGAGGGGTCGGCCTGTGGGAGCTGAGGATGCCAGGGCTAGGAGGGGCACTGGGTGGAGGCTTCGTTCTGCTCCAGAGAACTTTCCAGAGGCATCTTGTTGCTGGGATCGCAGACACTGGCCGACAGTTGATCCTGCCCCTTTCATCTGGGCTGCTCTCCCAGCTCCCTGTCCGGGGCTGTGGTCCGCACACACCGAATCCCAGACGCATGCCTGGGCTCCTGCCACTGATCGGGTTGGACGGGTGTGTTGGCCTGGAAGGGCCCCTGAGCCCCCGCCGGACGCTGAGTTTGGCCCAGCTGTGTTAGGTGGCTCCGCTGGCCCTTGCCTTCTCTGTTCCTCTGTTGTCAGAGCAGAAGCTCCAACGGCCAGTGGGGTCAGCCAGGACCCAGGGGAGGTCAGGTGGGGGGCTCACAGGCCAAGAGGAAGGCTTGTGGTGCTGGGTCAGCTGGTATGAGGGCCTGGCAGAGGCCTTGAACCAGGCTGGGCTACTGTCCTGGGCAGGTCCCTTCCGGTCTTGGTCTTTCTCTCCCAGATGTGGGGGTTGGTTGTGACGACCCCCCCCTCCAGGTCTTCCGGTACAAGCCTCTCATGGTGACCGCCTGCTCTGGGGAGCAGAGTGAGTCATGGGTGACGGGGCGGTTACTCACCGACCACCTGGCTGTGGGGGGTGGGGGGGGCGCTCACCACTGCCCTGCCAAGGCCGGGCCTCTTCCCGGCTCCACCGCTGTGGCTTTGTCAGTGGTGCCAACCGCAGTCCCAAAAGCCCTGTGGGCATGACCCTCGTGGGGGGATGCTGAATCAGGCCCACTCCCGTGGCATCACCGCCCATGTGGGGACAGGATGGTGCCTCATAGCTCTAACGTGAACAGGTCGTCCTCAGGGAGGAGCAGCTCCTACCCTGGAGGGTCTACGTCTGTCCAGGTCGAGGAAGGTTCTGCTGTGTGGCCCCAAGCAGATCCCTGGGCCTCTCTGGGCCTCAATCTCCTCCTAGGTCATATGGGAATCCCTCCACAAGGGCTCGGCTCAGTACACATGTGGACGGAATTAGAAATCGTGAAACACTCTGTAGAGGGTGTGCACAGAAAACCCCACTGGATCTCAACCCCAGGGACCCCAGCTTGGAGGTGGATAGATGGAGCCTCCTAAGCTTGTTGCCATACAGACAAGAATTCTCTGCCATTAGTTAAAGGGGAGACTGACACATTCTGGAAGTGACTTCTGCAACTGTCTGTGTGTGAAGGGAGGGGAAGGTGTTCCCCATGTCCTTCCACCCAGGACCCACAGGAGAACACATCATTTTCTTCTTATTTTTTTAATTTTTAATTTTTTTATTTTAAAGATGTGGGGTACAATTCAGGGTTAGGTATACACATGTTCATTATGCAGGTACCCTTGGTGATGAGATGTGCTCTCCCCCGGAAGATTCCCACAACTGCCAGTCCCACAATCAATCCCTCTCCCTCGACCCCCGGCAGTTTCCCGCTACTGCCAATCTTTTTCTTATCGTATTACGATAATTGCTCAAGGTCCACTTATGAGTAGAACTCTATGTGATACTCAGTTCTTTGTTTCTGCAATAGATCACTCAGTATTATAGACTCTGAGTCCATCCAGGCTGCTGTGAAGTTCATGATTTTGTCCTTCTTTATGGCTGTGTAATATTCCATCATGAATATATACCAAATTTTTAAAATTCAGTCCTCTTTTGATGGGCAGCACAGTTGGTTCCACATTCTTGCTATTGTGAACAATGCTGCAATAAACATACATGTGCAGGTATCTTTTTCATAGAGTGATTTGAGTTCCTCCGGGTATATTCCTAGTACGGGGATTGTGGGGTCATATGAAAGGTTGATTTTTAGATCTTTTAGGAATTGCCACACTATTTTCCACAGAGGTTGTACTAGTTTACACTCCCACCAACAGTGTAGAAGTGTTTCCTCTTCACCACATCCTCTCCAGCATCTGTTGTTTTTTGAGCTATTGATGATGGCCATCCTGACTGGAGTTAGGTGGTATCTCAGTGTCATTTTAATTTCCATTTATTTGATGACTAGTGAGGCTGAACATTTTTTCGTGTATCTGTTGACTGCTTATATGTTTTCTTTTCAGAAGTGTCTATTCATATCTTTTGCCCACTTTGTAATGAGGCTGCTTTTTTTTCTTTTTGGCATATTTGAGTTCCTGTAGATCCTAGATGTTAGGGCTTTGTCAGACATACAGTTGACAAATATTTTTTCTGAGTCTGTAGGCCGTCTCCCTGCTCTCTTGATGGTTTCTTTGACTTTGCAGAAGCTTGTCAGTTTGATGAGGCCCCATTTGTCTATCTTATCTCTTATGGCCTAGGCACTTGGGGTTTTGATCAGGAATTGGTTGCCAGTTCCAACTTCCATAAAGGTGTCTCTGCATTTTCTAAGGTTCTTTTTTTTTTTTTTTTG